CAGCATGTTATGGCATTTGTTACAAGAGGTTAACTTGGAAATAATTTGCATAAGTCTGTTATATCATGTGGGTCTGCAATTGCAGAACACTGGATTAAAAACTGTTCCAAGGCAAACCAGGAGAACATATTCTCCATTTTATACAAATCTCACTCTGGGCTCCATCTTCCAAGTCCTTGGGACAATTTTCATTAAGTCCAGGCAGCCTTCCCTGTATAAACAGGTGAAATGGTTTCTAAAACTTAATGTGATCTACTTGTAGATAATTTGTATTTAGTATATTACTAATAAGGGTGTATTAGATTTTGCTTTATCTTTTTATTCAGTACATATATTTACTATTTTATTCCTCAATCAAGTTCTAATGAGTAATGACAACCAGTAAACCCTCAATTTCTTTTTCTAGTCTTTTGTATTGTGTCAGTCTCTGATTTTGTTCTCTTGTTTTAAATACATATTTTAAATATGTCTGTGTTATATATCTTTATTAAATTTTGTACAGCAAACAATATATATATATATATATATATATATATATATATATATATATATATATAGATAGATATATCAATTGATAATTAGTAGAAATAATTCCAAGGAGCACATTAAACCAAAAAGAGCTCAATGTTGTAAGTAACAGAGCAATATAATAATGAGTACAGGCGATCCTTAAAAATACATTTGGTTATAATTTATTTCATGAATAAACAAATATTCATCTTTTCAGACCAAAGTTTTTTAATAAGTGGAGTCAATTTATCCAGATGAAAAGGGGGAGGAAAAAGAAAAGAAAAAATTTTAATATCAAAAGAGGAAGAAAGAAAAAGAAAAATTTCAATAAAAGGTTTTAAAAAAATTGGGGGGAGGGGGGAGAGAGAGAGGTAAAAGAGGGGAGAGAGAGAAGGAGAGAGTGAGATGAAGGGAAAGAAAAAGGAAAGAAGGAAGAATTAAACATGAGCCAATAGGGTGATCTAGAAATGATATTTTTAATTTTTTATTTTATTTAAGTTACTTTATTTTATTGATGTCCAATATCATCATCATCAATTTGAAATTGTGATGATTAAAATGCAATGATGATTGTTTCACTGTTGAAAACGACATGAATATCAGACAATTCAATGTATCTATGTTAAATCTGATCACTCCCTTCCTTAGCCTGTAATTTAACTTGTTCAGTTCTTAAAGAAAGTCATTTCTTGGTCACCCTATCAACTCATGTTTAATTCTTCCTTCTTTCCTTTCTTTTTCTCTCTCCTCCTCTCCCCCTCTCTCTTCCTCCCCCAATTTTTTTTTTTTTTTTTACAACCTTATATTGAAATTTTCATTTTTTTTCTTCCTCTTTTAATATTAAAATTTTTTCCTTTACTTTTTTCCTCTGGATAAATTGACTCCATTTATTAAAAAAACTTCAGTCTGAAGAGATGAATATTTATATATTCATGAAATAAATTATATACCCAAATGGATTTTTAAGGATTGTTTGTACTTATATATATATATATATATACACACACACACGCAAAATGTTATATATGTGAATACAGATTATTTCAGATGAGTAAATACTATGAAAAATATTCCCCATAAAAGTTATTCATCAAATTGTAAGATCAGGAGAAATGGAAATTATTCATTTAGTTGCAAAAGAATCGATCATTATGAAGCATATTGGCTCTGTAAATAGAGGCAAACAAACTATGGATAAATATCAATTTCTAAACAAAGTGAGCCTACAGGAAATGCAGGATCATTGGAGAAGCCACAAGATTCCCTTTACAAAGTTGGGTTCAGTTTTATCTTCTCTTTTATTATTGCAAGAAAGATTGGACTTGAAGATATCTGAAGGAACAAAAACACATTTTTTCTCCCCTTCATCTTGTTTATCAGTCAACCAGTATCCACAGTGATCACTCATTTCTGAATAATGTAGAAAGAAAACAAATTGTTATTGAAGACTCTAGCAGGGATTTGGGCTTTTACCTTTTATAATAATTGTTATACTATCATCATCAACATCATAAATATTTACCACTTTTACAACAACATTCTGTTATTTTCCTAACTTAAGGCAGGCTAAAGTAAATTATTTTCATTGCAACAAATAAAGAGATAACCATAGTGATGGCATGATTATCGGAGATAGTTTAACAGCAATTCTGAATTACATGAGCTGGTTACAAAATCAGTTTGGGGCTTTAAGTTCAAATGAAAAAACAAATATAAAAAGAAAGATAAGGTAATCTGTCACTAGAAGTGATTGTCTACAAATTATTTTGCTATTAGCATTAATTTGGAGCCAACAGAAAAATTGGTGCCTTTAAACCAAACAAGTATTTAGACAGACATTCTAAGTAGCTTAAGGAAAAAAAAAATATTGATGAATGTCAGTTCTGTTGTACATAGTTCAGTAAATGTTTTCACTGGAAGGTATAAAAAAAAAAACAAAAAAAAACAGTATTTGTAGATGTAGCTGAATAGTAGAGATTTGGTCTAGTAGACAAGAGGCTTAAGATGATATTCTGTATGCCAACTCAGAAAAACAAATATAAAAAGAAAAGCAAAAGAACTAAAATGAAAAACATCAAAGACCAGATGTCAGATCACCATCTTCTATATGCCATGTCCCTTCAGAACTTGGGCGACCATGGCTCTCCACAACTTCCTGTCCTTTATAAACCTTGGTATAATTTGTTCTTTTTTGCTAAATCTTGGTATAATTTGCTCTGTTCTGCTGTTTAAACAAGTTTCTTATGTAGGTTATGCATTGCTTTCCTCTGTCCCTTTTGCTTTCACTATGTCTTGTGAGTGTTAAATTTTCCAAACCCTCTTTCCTTATTATATGCCCTAGAAATTTTAACTCTTTCTGATAAGTGTCCTTTTTATTTCCATTTCTTCTTCTAAAATTTCATTATTGCTACTACCTCGCCTCTTCTCCATCTATGATGAGATGGTCCAGAATTCACTAGGTGTGAAATAATAAATATGCAAACAACAAAGGCTAATTATAGGTAAGTAACAACCACTCCTGATTAGAGAGAGATGGGGGCAGCACTTAATATAAATTGATTCTAAAATCTTGTAATATTTCAAATATTTTAAAATGAGTACAAAATTTAATAACAGCAATTAAAATGAACATGGAAAAAATGCAAAAGAGAATGTTTACATTACTTAAAGTGATAATATCAAAATGAAAAAAAAAAAAAAAGAAGCAAAATTTTAAATACAGTTGAACTGGTTTATCAATCCTCCCTCTTCAGAGTTTAATCAAGGATAAAAAGTCTTACAGACATATCACATTGAAATACCAGTCTCTGTATGATCACTGAATAAAAAAAAGGAGCAAATGACCAGTTCAATATATAAAATGTAATTCATACAGTAGCTGTATGCATTTGATATTATATAAATTTTCATATTTTGATAATTGAGGCTTGTGCATAAGTTCAATTACCAGAAAAGAAATTTACACAGCACCATTCCTCTTTTTCTTCTTTACCAACCATTATGATGAAATCTTGATTGACATGTGACAGGATACAAAAAATATTGAAGTCTCTTAAAAAGATTAGCATAAAATTATTATTAACCTCAGGAAAATACTGCCAGGGGAAACAAAATAGAGAATGCTATGGAGAATCACGATCACTCAAGAAATGAGAGAAAAAATGAGGTAGAGAGAGAGAGAGAGAAAAGCTGGGTTTTCTGATTTAGGTTATGCTAAAATGCACACATTTGCAACTTCAAAAATTTTTTTTTATTTCATTTAATATAAAAACATTTACTCTTTTATGTCATACAACATTGCTCAAATTAGATAATTTACTTCTTTTTTTATGAAAAAAATTTTATGAAACAATTACATTTGGCTTTGCAACAGTTAATCCTTGCAATAATTTCCAGCAGTTATTGCACCCACAAGCACTTGAATGCAAAATTGTAATCACAAGTGATACTCAATTTATAAATTTTTTTTTTGTTTCTTGCATTTATTTGATGGGTAAATAAAATAGTGTATGGAATATAATTTCTCATTTTTAATGTCAAAAATCAATCAAGTACACTGACAGATTTTAAAAATAATGAGTTTTTATTTTCTTTTAAAAATTTTCCATTATATCACATTAACATGCAAGAAAATAAATAATAACCTTTTCGAAATCCTGCAAATATTTCCACAAATTTCATATGATAGTGACAGCAATTTCTTCAAGTAATTGAATTCGACTGGACATTATGTTTGTTTATTATCAGTCCTACAACTGAAAATACTTCCAGAAGATTGTCTAATCCTGAAGAGTCTCAGAAGCTAATCATACAGTATTATTACCCTGTCCATTGCAGGATATGTTGGATCTTATCTACTTTAGCATTTCAAACATCCATGAATCAGCATAAAGACTGCAGAAAGTAGACAACTCCTGTAATTACATTCTGGAACTTTCATCATATCCCTGAGTCATTTCATTGTTGAGTTCATGATACATGCACTTTTACACATTCATGCTGCTTAACTCTAGGAGGCGATTTGCAAGAAGCCATTCACCAAAGACATTAAACAATGATAAATACTATTTCATTTATGAATGTCCTACAATGATTGGTGAACGAGGCTGTAAAACTTCAAGTCCATACATAAAAACAAAAGCTTTCTGCTTCCAGGAATCCATTTTACTATCCTTCATTTATTTCCAGGATTTTTTCTATTGAGCAATAAATTATATATTAAGTACATTCCCTTGATACAAATAAAATATTTGTTTTCATATTTACCCCTTTCATATATAATGATGCTTAAAAGTTGATTCTTTGACATTAATGCAAATATATTTAGACTTGCACATCAAGTTTGTTACATCTATAGATTATTTTTCAATAGAAACCAGCAAATTATGAAACTTCTTAAGAGATCAGCAAATGTAACTATGAGTCTTTTCAATAAGACTGGCAAGTATACATTAAAAGACTTCCCAAGAAGAGATCAGTAAGCATAGACTATGAGTCTCCCAGGGAAGAGATCAGTAAGCGTAGACTACGAGTCTCCCAGGGAAGAGACCGGCAAGCGTAGACTACGAGTCTCCCAGGGAAGAGACCGGCAAGCGTAGACTACGAGTCTCCCAGGGAAGAGACCGGCAAGCGTAGACTACGAGTCTCCCAGGGAAGAGACCGGCAAGCGTAGACTACGAGTCTCCCAGGGAAGAGACCGCAAGCGAGACTACGAGTCTCCCAGGGAAGAGACCGCAAGCGAGACTACGAGTCTCCCAGGAAGAGACCGGCAAGCGAGACTACGAGTCTCCCAGGGAAGAGACCGCAAGCGAGACTACGAGTCTCCCAGGGAAGAGACCGCAAGCGAGACTACGAGTCTCCCAGGAAGAGACCGCAAGCCGAGACTACGAGTCTCCCAGGGAAGAGACCGCAAGCGAGACTACGAGTCCCCAGGGAAGAGACCGCAAGCGAGACTACGAGTCTCCCAGGGAAGAGACCGCAAGCGAGACTACGAGTCTCCCAGGGAAGAGACCGCAAGCGAGACTACGAGTCTCCCAGGGAAGAGACCGCAAGCGAGACTACGAGTCTCCCAGGGAAGAGACCGCAAGCGAGACTACGAAGTCTCCCAGGAAGAGACCGCAAGCGAGACTACGAGTCTCCCAGGGAAGAGACCGGCAAGCGTAGACTACGAGTCTCCCAGGGAAGAGACCGCAAGCCGAGACTACGAGTCTCCCAGGAAGAGACCGCAAGCGAGACTACGAGTCTCCCAGGAAGAGACCGCAAGCGAGACTACGAGTCTCCCAGGGAAGAGACCGCAAGCGAGACTACGAGTCTCCCAGGAAGAGACCGCAAGCGAGACTACGAGTCTCCCAGGGAAGAGACCGGCAAGCGTAGACTACGAGTCTCCCAGGGAAGAGACCGCAAGCGAGACTACGAAGTCTCCCAGGAAGAGACCGCAAGCGAGACTACGAGTCTCCCAGGGAAGAGACCGGCAAGCGTAGACTACGAGTCTCCCAGGGAAGAGACCGGCAAGCGTAGACTACGAGTCTCCCAGGGAAGAGACCGGCAAGCGTAGACTACGAGTCTCCCAGGGAAGAGACCGCAAGCAAGAGACTACGAGTCTCCCAGGGAAGAGACCGGCAAGTGTAGACTGAGTTTCTTGAGAAGAGACCAGCCATTGTAGACTTCGAATTTCTTGTGAAATGACAAACAAATGTAGATTAAGGGTTTCTGGAGAAGAGACCAATAAATGCAGACTATGAGTTTCTCTAGGAGAGACCAGCAAGTGTCAACTACAAGTTCCTTAACACTTAAGTGCCAATACTGGGTCTCTGAGGACTCCAAACAGATGAATTGTAAACTATTTGTATAACATTGTACACAATTTGAAGGCACTTTCCATGTAATCCTCAAAACTTGAACTATCCACTTTATTTTTCAAGTTACCAAAATGTATTACAAAATTGATATTGAAATATCGGTAATTATGTCCAAAATGATGGTGAGTCCCCAGGCACCCAGATTGAGTGCTTAAGTTACTTTGCATCTATGCTTTAGTGCAGAAATTGTTTACTTTTTTTCCATGTGCATATTACCAATAGTAAGGATCTTAGTTTCCTATAAAGTGAAGACACTATTTTCTTTTTTTTACCAGAAACTAATTTTGACACTACTTTCACTGATTTCATTAATTACTTTTTGAATATCAGATGATGGAAGCTACAAACCAAAGATATTCTGCACAAAAATCAGCCAATTGTCTTATAGATATGCTCGAAAAGGAATCTTCCAACTGTGGTAATAATTTTATTCAATTGCTTGATGGTGTTAAAAATGTTGTTGAGATGTCAGATGATGACATTGTGGATGGCGTAGATTTAGATCATGCATCTTCCAAAACTTGTGGCATAAATGTTTTTAGTGATAAGCAAGGACTCACATTCACAGTGCAAAAAAAACTATAATTCTTCAGAGTAGCAAATGTAGACTACGAGTTACTCGAGAGGAGACCGGCAAGTGTGGACTACGAGTTACTCGAGAGGAGACCGGCAAGTGTGGACTACGAGTTACTCGAGAGGAGACCGGCAAGTGTGGACTACGAGTTACTCGAGAGGAGACCGGCAAGTGTGGACTACGAGTTACTCGAGAGGAGACCGGCAAGTGTGGACTACGAGTTACTCGAGAGGAGACCGGCAAGTGTGGACTACGAGTTACTCGAGAGGAGACCGGCAAGTGTAGACTACGAGTTACTCTGAGTCTTCCTGAGAAGAGACCAGCAAGCATAAATTTTGATTCTTCTAAACAAAAATAAATAAATAAGTATCTATAGATTTACTAGATGTGATGTGAAACAAATTCTAAAAATATTATATTTGCATTAATGTCACAAAATTAATCTTTATTCTAATTTTGCAGAAATTATCTCTGTAATCTTGCAGACACTAACACCTTTACATTCAGGTGACAGAAGAAAGCCATAATTTATAATGTGAAATCAGAAGGTTGAAAACTTTGTGATAAAATTGACACAGAAGTGTTGATTTTCTGACAAAATGTTTTATACTTATTTTTTTAGTCTTTAAGGATATTTATTGATTTTAAAATATACAGCAAGCCTCACCTGTCACATATTAAGAACTTTTCTTTCTCTTTGTCATTTCATGTAATTACATCAATTAACTGCTTTGAAAAATTTAGTCATAATCCTGATTTTTGAAAACAGAGACTAATGGGTAAGATCTGGAACGGTAGAAAATTTGTAATATATTTATTTATGAATTAGATGTATGTATAGATGTATTATATGAAATTCATTCAGTTTTCAATTGAAAAATATCCACATCATTAACTATGGATTTGTCCATGAAGCATAATTTTATCATGAACTCCGCTCCCCATTAAAGTTAATGAGCCTCACCTGTTGAGTAATGAAGATTGAACCAGAAACTTTTTAAGCTTTTAAAGTCCATTTAGTTATTGATTACTCCATTTTACAACTAAACATATTTCTGTTTTAATGTTTCCCATTTCAACAAACAGTTTAATTATTCCTGACATTTTTGATTTAATAAGAATTTTTGTATAACAAATTCATTAAAATTCTTTTGGTCTGCTGAGAAATTGGTAACTTGTAAAACATGGACTCTCAAAACTAATCAGCTTTGATTTTTTCATAAAGACAGTCTGTATTTTTATTTCCAATAAACGATTATATGTTGAAAAGAGCAACAAAATCATTATTTTGTGACACACACACAAAAAATATGAAATTTTATTGATTTCTTCTCAGAATCAAAAAGATTTTTCAGATTCTTTACTTAAATAAGAAAAACATCTTTTCATGGATTTAAAAAAGAAAAAAAAACTCAGCCGATTTTAATAAAAAAAAATTATTTTATGAAATTGAGAATTTGTTAAGACAATCCTAAACAAAGAAAAGTTTATTTAAAGGAACAAATAATATTTTGAGAAATAAAAGAAAGTCCACAGTAATCTGTAAACAGAACATTCTATTTTCCCAGCCTGACTTTCATTGCTTTAATAAATTTAGACGATACTTAGAATTTCTAATAAAAAGAGAAATTGTTGCTTTGAATTCTCAATGCCATTCACAGATAAATGGAAATGTGTTAAAGAACATTTAGGAAATTGTATTCACAGAACTAAAGAATCTGCTTTATGTATAATTAGTTTTAATTAATGTGGGGATGGAATTGCTACAGCAGGCAGCAACTCCAAACATCATACCCCATCCCACTGCTAGTCATCTTGATAAAGATATTTTCATTGATATAAAATGACTGTAAATAAAGAAACAAATGTGAGTGGTGATGACTAAGTTTCTCTTAATTATAAATATCGCAAAAGCTAAAAAGTTTAATATTTTACATGGAACTTTGAAATACTAGTCTAGCTTACTCTCTTTGAATTTCTCTCAAAGTATAAGATGGAACTTAAAGACATTAAATAATTTTGGTTAAAATGACATTTATTATATTTGTTGTAATTTCTAAAATAAAAAAAATTACAAATCATTATTAGATTAGTTCAATCATTATTAGATTGGTGTAAAGGCTGGCTTGCCTTTATAAGGAGATACAAGAAGGCAGCCATGTTAGCAGGTAAGTCATTTGACTTCTACATAGTTCTCATTTAGATTACTTGGAAATTCTTTGTACAAAAAGCAATAATTCATTGTTTCTTGTACTACTATTCAAATTAGGATTTTGTTATATTCCGTGCTAATAGGAATATATACTTGAAAAACAAGGTGGATAAAATAAGTAAAGGTTTATTGTAAAAACTAGTACAATAAGAATAAAAATAACAGCTATGTACAAGGTTGTCACAAGTCACTTCAGTAGTGAGTGCTACTATTGGAAGGTCAGTAGTTCTTGCGTAAGTCTGAGTTATCCTCAACAGATCCCAGCTAGTCTTTGTAGTCTGTTGACTTACAGCTACTTATAGGTAGTTACTATCTATAGTGTAGTCATCCATGGGGGATGACAGGTTATTCCATTACATCAGATTTACTTTTCTGCTGATTCCTTACCAATTCTTCCAGTTTAAAACATTTTCAAAATGAAAAAATGCCAAAAGAAAGCACAAATATATATTTGAAATATATATATATATATATATATATATATATATATGAAATGGCTGCTCATTTCCAAGTATACTTGCTTGATATGGTAGCAAGCTAGTCCCTGTTGCAGATACTTTCTCATAAACATTTGTATTCTTCAAAATACACAGAGCCAATCTGGTTTATACTGCAAATACGCTGAGTAAACCTTAGTTAGTTTCTGGGAGATTGTACATAATCTGTTGTGATCAGTAGCACAACAATGCCAGTACATGAGCCTTCAAGTCATGATGACACACACACAATCTCATAATTTATTATGCAACTCAATATTGGGAAAATATGATATATTTATCATCTAAATATATCCTGAAAATTGTACCTATAATGGTTGATTAATACTAATTTTATTGCAGAAACATTTGCTTGCATAATAAAATTTGAATGTATATATAGTAATTTTTAAAAAAGCCACTAATAAAACAAAGTACCATTTTAATTGTTAATAAAATGTCAAAGAAATTTCAAAATAACAAACTTATAAGTTGTTATATTCATTTATAAAAACAAAACATTTCATTAAAGCCTGTATAAATTCTGCCAGTTAGTAGAAGCATCTTGAGAATTTTGAAAATTTAAGTTTACAATTTTTTTATTCATTCAAGTTTGTATAAAATCTAAGCACAATTTATATTTCAGTATTTCAAAATGAAAAAGATTAAGAAAACAAAAAGAGAAAAAAAAAAGGTCTTTGCAAATGTATTTTCTTTGAGGACTCCACACTGACCACAAGTTAGACGTAAAGATGCAATGAAATTTCTCTGAATCCTGATGGGAATATAGATTACAGTGTACAATAAAGGATTGGGTGGAACATGCATATCAATATAGGGAAGAATGGCTAACAGGAAATCATAAACCTGCTCTAGTTTCGGGGCTTAAAATTTGGCCAAGAATCTGGAATCCCAATGTTAGATATAATCTATTGAATGCATTTACGATTCAAGAACATCAGAAATCCAAATGACATAATGGATCTAAGTATTTCCTGATCCTTTGCAACACTTTCAAAATGCTGCATAACAGCTACAGCTCAAATGTTCAATGCAGCAGTTTTACCAAAGCAGGAACACATTTAAATTGCAGAAATAAACTTCAGAGAGCCAATTCCATGATTCTGTATAATTTAGCTTGATCAGCTGTCTAAACAAAAAATATAAATTCAGAAAAATCACAAAGGCACAAAAACTTTCTGATATGACAGTTGCATCTGGCTCTTCAGGAATTTGAATTAAGGCTCATCTATGCAATCTATTAAATAAGTAAGAGATTTCTGTTTATGAAGATATGATTTCATTGATAACTGAATTTTGTCATGAGCAAAAACAGGTGGAATTTTGTCAAGTTTTGCCT